ACAAGTGCACGGTCACAGCCTTCAGTCCTTGGCTTTGGGCTTGGATGTGGCTTCTGTAAACCCAAAGGCAATTTCCAGCCTTAAAGTATTTATTTATCCATGTGAAAGCTCCCAAAGTAAGTGGTCTGTGGTTTTCTGTCCAGGGCAAGTTCTTAAGCATCCAAACACTACGCAGACCTCACAAGGCAGAACATGGAATACTGTGGATAGATGCAACTTTTAACGTTCTCCATACGTGTATTCAAGTGGTTTGTGCCTTTTCCTTCCCAGCAGTGCTGCAGGGAGGCGCGAGCGGCGAGGCTGGGGGGTGCTGCAGCCCCATCCCATGCGCTGCTTTCTCCACCCACCGTTCGTTCTTTTCTTCCCTTCTCATAGTGCGGACGCAATGCGGAGAACTTCGACCGGTTTTTCACTCGCCATCCACCCGTCCTCACACCTCCCGACCAGGAAGTCATCAGGAACATTGACCAGTCAGAATTCGAAGGATTTACCTTTCTTAACTCTGAGTTTTTTAAGCCCGAAGCTAAGAGCTAAGTAGCGGCGTAGATCTCGTTCCCGCATCCCTCTCCTCCAGCCCCAGCTGCTGATGTGACATTTTCCATTGCAGAACTTGAACTCATGGGTTTTCTTCCTTTAGTGCTACTACTGGCGTGACCATATTTCAAAGCCTGAAGGGTGATTTGGGGGGTGATTGCAGGGTGAGTGATGCACGCTGCAGTTGTGCTTTTATGGCATATCATTTGGAGAAGATGGAAACGGTTCCCTGGATGGAGGTGGAACGGAGAGGGGTAAGCTGTGACAACAAGGAGAAATCTCTTCAGTGTCTGTCTTGATTCCTGCTCTTCCCTTTTTCTAATATAATCACAAAACCTCATTATTTAGCTGACTTAGTGGCCAGTGAGTGTTTTTAATGACCCCTTCACAGTGTGAATGTGCAGCGCAGGCGCTGCCACTGAGCCCCTGGCTCTAAGCAGCTCCTCTGGAGAGCTGAAGCCAAATCTGGCTTCTTTGGTAGCTCTGTCCTGCTGTCTGCAGCAGCTGGTGCCACCATCGCCCTATACACACACAGCCTTGGGCAAGTGGTTCTCTGTGACGGGTCTTTGCAGCGCGGGATGAAGGATTAGGGAAGCCAGATCTGCTGCTTGCAAAGATTTCTCCTGGTTGGGCAGCTTCTAAGTAGCATGGTTTAGATCCAGAGCAAGACCTCCAGTGGTAACCGGGATGTTTGAAAGAGCTGTTGCGATGCTTTGAATCCATGGTCACCCTGGTAAATCCCACACAACTTTGGTCCTCAGAACAAAACCTTTCCCTTTTTCCAAATGCCAAAGCAAAGGATTGAGTTTGTTACCTGCGCTTTAAAGGTGTCAAAAAAGGTATTAGCACAAATGGGATGCTATTTAACTGTGAACAGCATTGTGGGTTCTGATCTGAAGCTTGTAAAGGATTTGGGTCCAACTAATGCTCTTTTCAAAAATGCCTCTAGGTATTCAGATCTGTTTTTTTCAATCTAGACCCAGGTTTTGTTTCTGGCATTGAGGAAAACATTCCAGGAAGGGTGAATTTCTCCCAAAACAATAACAATTATGCAGCTTCCCTTTATACTCCTCTGCAGATGTTCGTGGGCTTTCACTGTGTCGATCTGCTTCAAGTTGTAATGTGCCAATTTTACTCCCCCCCCCCCCAATACTGATTATAAAATAAAAAGTGAGAAATAACATCACAGAAACCTGCATGTGTTTGGCAATAACGAGTTTCTACAGTGCTGAGCTCAGGGATGCCAGGAACCCTGACAGCTGGGGCTGTGCCATGGATGCTTGGGGATGCACGATCCAGAGCAGTGCAGGCAGCAGTCCACATCACAACACAGAGCCACAGCCCCTTCATCCTCTGCAGCATCCCCAAACCGAGGTGTGATGCACTGGAAGCATCTTCCGAGCAGGCACTAAATGCCTGCTTGTCCTCTGCACCAGCTCATCCTGCTCCATCATGGGCAGGGAAAGGAGCTTCTCTCTGCCATCCCTTGGATGAAGGATGCTTTGGGGCGTGAGCACCCCCTCCCATGCTGTGCTGCAGAGCTCTGCCCCTTGAAGATCTTTCTAAATGCCTTGATCAGAGACCACTGTGGGATGTGCATCACTCGCTGCAGTGCATGTCGGTGACGCCCGCTGTGCTCTTCCAGCTGTTAAGAGCAATTGCAAGGCCGTGAGCAATTGCTCTTAACAGGATTAGGATCTGCTGTTAAAAGCAATTGGCAGTTTGAGCTAACGAGGAGTTGAAGGTTCCCATTCACCTCCCATTCGGAGCACGTCTGGATTCCCCTCCTGGCTTTGGAAATCTGCTTCTGCTGAACGGCTGCGGCTCTGAGCTCTGTGGGATCGTTCTGAAAGGCACCGAGCAGCAGCACCAGCACAGCAAGAGCTGCTCCTCAGCTTCCTTCCCCCATACAGCCCTGGAGCTCTGGCATGGGGAAGAGGCTTGGATGCAGCAGTGGTGATCAGGGAGGATTCCGATCCCCTGGGATGCAGGATGCAGGTGCGCTGCCCTTGGCATGGGGAGCTGGGCACACCATCTGCCGCACCATCCATCCCCTGCTCCTCGTCACCTCCCAGGGTCAATTAGCCCCATGCTGGAGGTACTTTCATCCTTGAATTTCCCCTGCCTTCCCCTCTCTGTTTACCAGATCCATGCAGCCACTCCCCACCAGCTCCCAGGATATTCATCATCTTTGACAGAGGCCAAATTGCCACCAATTTCAGGCAAAACTCAAGGTAAGAACCCAGCAAACCCTACTCTGGAGGCTTGCAGCTGGGCCCTCCCAGTGCTGCGCTGTTCTGTGAGCCCCACAGCAGTGCAGGGGGATATGGGCAGCCCTGAGCCCCCCCAGCACATCCCAGCCTTTGCCAAAGCAGCAGCAGCTTTTGGGCACCCAGGGGCTCCAGGCTGGGCACTCGTCCTGCCCAGTGCCACCAGCAGAGGCCACTGCGAAGAGCTGGGACCGCAGTGGCAAATGTGGATGTTTCCTTCCCCTTTGCAGCATCCCACAGCATTCCTGCTCAGGAGGAGCTCCTGGCTGAGTCAGTGTTGGTTCAGGTGGATGTGGCCTTCAGGAACTGCTTGGTCAGCTCAGCATCCCTCCAGGAACGGGATAGGAGCCTGATGCCACAGTCATCTCCTTCCATCTACACAAGTGGGGATGCAAGAGATTCCATGGGGAACAGCTTCAAAACAGACTCTTGGCAGTGAAGGGCAGTGCCTCTGCTCTCCCATGGCTCCACAACCCACCAGCCCCTCTCACCCTCAGGGGTGCTGCCTTCCATTGAGGTGGGCTTACACTTGTACTTCAGCTGCCTCCCCCTTTGCCTGGCAGAGCTCTGCACCTGAACTCAGCTCCTTCACCCCATTCACTCTTCCACGGTCCTGCTCTGTGCCTTCAAATCTGCATCTTCTTCCTTCTCTCTGTTGGGAGAGGAGCCCTGCAGGGACTCTGATGCCTCCCAGGAGACACTTGCTGAAAGCGAAGGCAAAAACCCAGCTCCAGGACTGGAACAGGCTGGGACCTGATGGCACAGCCGTGTCATGGCTCTTCTTCTGGCTTTTCTTTCTTTGCTCTTTGAGCTCCAGCCCTGTTTTCCTCCCCACCTTGCCTCCTCTCAGCCATCCTTGGCTCTCTTTGCTCTCTGTCTTGCCCCCACAAGGCTGAAGCTGTTCCAATGGGATGCCTTCTGCAGCAACTGGAGTCTCCATGCAGCTTTGGAGGTCCTGGTCCACCGCTGGCATCCGGACAGGACACATCACCCCCTGGGTGCCTGGTCAGGGCAGAGCTGTGACGGGGGGTTGGCAGGGGTGGAGGGAGCAGGAGCAGGGTACAGCCAGGTCCCGTGTGGTCCCTGCCTTGGCCCACATGTGTGGGCCACACCAATGGTGGTGTGAGTGTGATGGGCTGCCCTGCAAGGGCAAATCTGAAACAGAGAAAACCCAAAAAGCCTTTTCTCAGTTGGGGAAGGTTTTTTGTCCGTGCTTGCTTTGGTAACAGGATGAAGCAGAGCACGTTCCCCGCTGCCTCCCTTTATGATGAAGGATCCTGGGCCCTTATATTGCATCTTCAGTGCTGCAGTTCCCCATTCAGCCAAGGCACCGTAACCCCCCCTCAGGCAGAACATCCCTGAATTGGGCAGTCTCAGATACACACACATTTATAACAACAGCACAAGTGTTCCCAAAGGATGGGCTCTGCAGCGCCAGTAGCAGGTTACCAGCACTAATCGAGATGATAACTCTTTGTTTTATTATTTATTTATTAGCTTGGATGTAGCTGCAGAGTTGTTGTTGTTCTGAAATCACAGCGATGAAAGGTTGCATCTGTGGAACGTTCGTTCTTTGAGGTTTTAAGCTACTGTGGATTTTCTACGGAGAACCCTGGAGCAAATCACATCCCCAGATCAATAAATCACTGCGCTGCTTAATACCATATCATAGCATAATTTTTAACAATCCAGCTTAAGCAGAAGGAGCTCCCGCAGCTGATTATTTTGTGCCAGCACTGAAGCCTTATTGAACGTTTGCTTCCATTTCAAGGCATGTTGCTTCCTCCAGGCTCCTTCCCCCTGTGCAGTGTGGATCTGTTTGCAGTGATGGTTTTGCATGCTGAGGACCTGCTCTGTTGCTCTCTCCCGCAGCACTCAGGAGCAGAGGGATGCTCGGGCGAGGAGCGACGTGTTCTCATCACCTCCCTTTCCTTTCTGGTTATGTGTTTGAAGCATGTTCAGCTGCTGTTCCTCTCTTCTTGCCTGCCGTGTGGGGTTGCTCCTGCTGTCCAGGGGCTGCCCTGCCAGGCTGGGTGCGTGTCCCTCATCGGCACCAGCTGGAGGAGCTGGCGTGGAGATGCTGGGTACTCGGGTGAAGCCGGCGACAGCCCAGCTCCCTCGGGTGCTCCATCACTCTGCCTGCCCGCTCGCGCTCACCCCTTTGCTGCGTTTAACTCTGTGCTTTCCGCTCAACAGAAGGACAAACGCGACACGTCCAACTTCGACAAGGAGTTCACCCGGCAGCCGGTGGAGCTCACACCCACGGACAAACTCTTCATCATGAACTTGGACCAGAACGAGTTTGCTGGATTCTCCTACACCAACCCCGAGTTTGTCATTAACGTGTAGTCGCGGCGCGGCCGCCCGCCTGCCCTCTCCTCGCAGTCCCCAGCTCCAGCCCGCCTTGTACATACCGACATAGTCTTCCGGGATTAGCAGTGCAGACATACACACCCTCATGCGAAACACGCCGATCGCTTGGTTTAGGAGGCCTTTCTATGTCTGTGTCACTTGCTAGCTTGGTTTCCTTAGCTGGAGATGTTTGGGGTTCGAGTTACCAGTCAGTAATACTTCTAGGAGCTATAGTTGGTGGTGACTAATAGAGTTTTTAAACAGAAATATACCAAATTGCTACAGTCTTTGTAACCTTTGAAGCGGGCTGCTGAGATTCCAGTGACCCTAGCTACTCACAAATCGTTTCTGTTGAATGCTGAGCATGGTTGATATCTTAAACCGTTGTGCTGAAGCTTGCGATGACTGTGAGCTTGTCTTAGAGGAGCCTTTTGTTCAAGACATGGATACATTTGATCAGTGTGGAGAAGTCTGCTTATAGACATATATTTTTAAACGCGTTGTACATACCGAAGCCGTCTTCCTCCCTCGCCTCCCGCCAGCCTGCGCTCGCCATACGGCCTTCCCTTCACTCAGGCATTACGGCTCCCAGCCAGTTCCATGCCAGCTCTTGTAAACCAGAGCAAACCCTTTTTCTAAGCGAAAGGTGGGATGGTTTTTTCTAACATCTGGAGCAGTTTGCAGTTTTGATACGCTCTGTCAGCGCGCTCATAAAGCCTTCTCCTGGTTTTTTTCACAAGCGCTGTCGAGATTTCACAGCTCTGTAATTAGGGTATTAATATTCTACCAAAACAGAACACATTTGTATCCTCGGTTTACAATTTACCAACTGAAAACAAGCCTGCTTCAAAAGGGCTGCGCTGAGGGCTATTTCTAACGGTAACTTTTCTACTTTACACCCTCTGCTGTTCTCAAGGCTCAAACAAGCCTCTTGAGTTACCTGATTTCAGCCAAAATTCCTGGGGTTGCTATTGAGAAATCCAGGAATTTCTGCATCATTTTAAACCCAATCTGAATCAGAAGAGACAATTCCAGCAGCTGTTTGTAAGGCAGAGCTGTGCTGTGTGTGCAAGCAGGGGCAGGAAGGGTAGGGACAAGCAGGAGCTGCCCATCAGAGGGTAAGCCCTGAGTGCAAGGAGCATCCTTTGAGTGCTGGCTGTTACCCCCCTCTTATTACACACCAGTTCAGTTGGTTCCCCAAACACCCCACCCCTGTATATATATATTTGAACCACTACTGGTTCTAATGTAAATACACATCACTCCATGCCTATAGGGGAAGATGGGGGTGGAATTCTATGAATCACGAGGAATCCTATAAAGGAAAATCTGGTTTGTAGATCTTTTATAAGCACCAAACTACTTCTGTGATTATTTTCTTTTAATGATTCAATGAGGTAAAAAAGGCTGCTAGAATCTCAGGCCAACATCCCTCCTTGCAGGGAGCGGCCAGGTCCGAGCCCTGTTACTAAACACAGCGCCCCGTGGGTGCTGGGGATGTGAGCCGGGAGCCCACGGCCTCAGGCGCTGTCCTGGGCTGGAGGAACCAAACCAAACCCCATTAAAACTGCAAATTGTGCCAGATTGACAGGCGGGTTTATGAGATGCTCTGCCCCAGATGCAGCCTCACGTGGGCTGGTTTCTGGTGAGGGCTCTCGTAGCACCAGCACAAGGCTCAGAAGATGTGTCGCCATCCTCTGCAGAGCACAGTTGATGTTCAGAGCATGTCTGTTGCTGTAACTATCAAACCTGTTGCTGCAGAATTAGTATTCCCTCAGTGATGAGTGTTGTTCATTTCCGTACCTTCAGCTCCGGAGCCGCTCCCGGGGTCGGTCCAGGAGGATGCTGCAGGGTCTCCGTGCCAAGGGAGCCGTGGGTACGCGCAGGGGCTGCAGTGGGGGGGCTACATCTGTTCTGTTTAGGACTATCCGTGTTCATGTCAGGGTGGCACTTGTGCATGGAGCAGGGGTTGTGCTGCTGGGCAGCTCCGGGGTAAGGTCTGTGCTCCAGGGAGAGCTTAGCAAAGGCTATGGGGGTTTCTGACGTTGGCCATTCTGCGACTTGCCAAACTCTTAGTCCGAGGTCCTTTTCCAGATGACTTTGCTTCTTTGTGTATGGGATATGCCTGTCCCTGCACAGACGTTGAGATGTGTACCAGCTCTTCCAAGGAAGGGCAGAGTGACAGTGGTTGACTCACTGTTTGCTGTAATTTGATGATTCAATCGTTGCTGTTGGATGGGGAAAGCAGTGCTTCAGGAAGATGCTCACAGAGGATCAGAGATACTGAGAGGCTTCAGGAGAGTCCCAGGTGCTCCAATGCATGGATAGAGCCCAGTAAAATGATGTCTGTGGGTGCACCCACAGCTGTGTGCACCAGCACAGTGCTGGGGAGCAAGGGGACAGTGCGAGCAGGCAGTGAAGTGAGGCTCATGGGGCAGATGAGGCTCACAGGATGCACCTGAGCCCTGTTGCATGCTTGGGGAGGGGTTTTCTGCAAGTCTGGTGTCCCCCAGTGAGCATCCTGGCTGTGGTGAGACTGGGACCAGGGCCCAGCGGTGGCAGTGGGACTGAGAGGCCTGCATGTCCCCAGGGCAGGGCAGAGGAGGCAGGACACAGTCACCCACCCATGAAGGGTGTCACATCCTGGCTCTCTGCTGAGCTGGATCACACCTGAGCGCTGCAGGTAAGTGGGGTTCAGGTTCCTCCTGGGGTTCCCAAGGGGGCAGGATGGATCACACACACACACAGGGGCTGCGTTGGCCCCTTTGCTGCTGCTCTCCAGGCATCAGAACCTGCACAGATCCTGCACCCAGGCAGGGGGCTTTGCAAAGGAGACCAGTGCTGGGTGAAGAAGGCATGGATGGGACAGGAGGGCTGAGGCTCCTGGAGGCGCAGAGAGGGAGTCACCTGAATTTACCCCCTGGCTAACACTGGCTAAGAACTTCTTTTCCCAATGCTGGCATTTGGAAACACACCGGGTATTTCTTGGTGCAGGAGCAGGTTTCCATTCCTGCCTGCGGGGGTGTTAGGGTGCAGATACCCTAAGGTGCTCCCTGGGCATGCCCTGCTCTTTCACTTGGCTGTTTTGCCAAAGAAAAGGGAGAGGACTGTGGATGTTTGTCCGTGTTCTTGGTGTAAAGCACAGCCCAGCCTGAGCTGGGGAGCAGTGGGAAGGCTGCCGGGTGCCCATGGCAGTGGAGCACGGCTGCGGAGCCAGCATGCTGCAGTTCAGGGTGAGTCTGTGCAGGGCTGTCACCAAGTGTCAGCTCCCCAGAGTGCTCCAGGGGACAGCCCCAGGGCAATGCCAGAGATGGGGGACCTGCTGCCGCTGTCTCCCCTGGCCAGACATCTGAGCATCGCTTGGTAAGAGAGCCGTCACTGCAGGAGGTATTGATCCACCTCATAAAGGCAGGTTTGGCCAACCCACAGAGGCAGTGTCAAAGACAGGAAGATGAGCGAGCGCTCTGGCAGTAGGTCTGCTCTGGTGATTGAGTCCCAGGAGCTCTAATGCAAGCGCAGAGCAAGGTTTCCAGCTCCGAGTGCCTGGATCCAGCTGCTCAGAAGGAAGGGCTCACATCTGGAGGGGGGGGGATTAACACATTGACAAGTGCTGCAGCTTCTCTGCTTTTGCACAAGTGGGCGAGCCACGAGCCTGCAACAGCAGCAGAAGCAACCAGCATCCTGCTCCGTGCACGGGAGTGTCACCCGAGCTGTTTAGTTCTGATCACGTTCAAAGTGGCAGTTAAAACAAGGAAAAAACATACAAAAAGAAAAAAAAAAGGAAATGTTTATTGTTGAACAGTTTGTGTTCGTGAACTTGATTTCACCTGCAAGTATTTGATGACTTTTCTACATCCTAGACTACCTGCTGTGTGTCGTCAACAGATTCTCCTAAAGACCTCCTTTTAGATGGGCATATACTCTTTATTCTATTTGCTGCATGTCTGAAGAACAAAATAAAATATCTAATTTTAAAGAATCCCTGATGGCTTCGCTTCCTTTTCCTGCTGGATTCCATTGCTGGGTGGGTGGGGTATCCAAAGGGCTGGGTATGCCAGGGGGTCCCCTGCCCTTAGGTGCTGGTTCTGGCATCTCTGTGGTCACACAGAGGGGCCCCACTGAGCCCCCAGACACTGAGATGCTGCAGCTTTTCTGTTAGAAAGGTGCATATTGGTGCAGCAGGAGGGTGTTGGTGAGTGGAACCTGCCTGAATGTGGGTCTGGGGACCCATGGCTACACTTAAGGATACATACAGACCAGTGGGGAGGAGAAGGAAAGGTGGAAGTTGTTATTGCTAATTGAGTTAATTAACACATTGCAGATGCTCTTCCTATGCTCTATAAGCACTGGTTACCACTACCTGTCCCTCACGGGGGTGCTGGGTGCAGGCACATCCTGGGGCAGGGGAGCTGCACAGTGATACCTGCTCTTCCCCATCCAGGAGCCCTGCTTTGTGAGGCCATGCCCATGTGGAAGCTGGTGAGCATGTGAGGAAGGGTTTTTTCCTTCTCCCTTTGGGTACCTCGGCTAAGCCTTACGCAAGATGTCCTTGTCTCTCCTGCCTGGTGAGGCTGGTGGTCACTGGGACCCATCCCAATTGATGTGGGATGGGAGTGAACAGCAGAGCTTAGCCAGTGTATCCCCAGTATCCCTCATCCTGCTCTTTCCTTCTTCCTACCTGAGCACAGCCCCTGCTGCTGGCACTGCAGGGTCCATGATCCATCGGGAAGGTCTCCCATGGCCCCAGCACAGGGTTTCATGGTGCCTGGTTGATCCCCTTCCCCAGACTCACTACATGCCCATGCCCAGCATGCTGGGAATGCTGCTGAGCATCGGTTCTCCTGGCTTGTCTAAATGAAACATTTGGTTTTGTGGCACTTTCCTTAATTATGGGAGCTAATGACAAAAGCATTGTGACAAATGACTCAGCTTCTGATAGGGAAGTTAATTAATGCTGAAGTTTGGAGTCTCCATTGGAGAAGCTGGAAAAACCCGGTTGAGCAGTTTGCTTCCCCCCTGTACCACAGGCAGCAGCAACCCAAGTCCCCGCAGTGTGCCAGGTAAAACCCTCCCCACGGCTGGGAGGGGATGAGAAGAAAAGACAGGCACCAGCGGAGCGATTGCCTCGGAGCCGTCCCTCCATCCATCAAAGGCATCGGGAGGAACACAGCCTCATTAATGTGTGAATGAGTGACCAGAAGCAGCTTCGCGTTAGGCTCTGACCTTCAAGAGCCGTCTCCCTGAAGCCATCTTTCATCTCTTTCATTTGCATTACAATCCTGTTTGCCTCATTATTCGGTATCTGCTGCTGCTTCAAAGAATTTAAATCAAATCAATTAAATTGTGGTGGGCTGGAGCAGCAGCAAACCCTTTGTGGAGGCTCAGCACAGCCCGGCCGGACTCGCGCTATAGAACGTCTTTAATCTGCTGCTATTTGTTCTCTTATTACTTCTGTGGTACCACTGCCTCATAGAGACCCTTTGATGATCCTGTCCTTTCCCACCCATCCCATGCAGATGTGCTCTGTGTAGAGGCTGCTCTTTGCATGACCTCGGAGAAAGGATTCCTCAGCTTCCATCCTGCACCTTGGGATTGAGATGAGGATGTTTTCAGCAGGGCTGTTGGGATGGGCAAAGGTCCTGGTTCTTTGGAAGGGTGATGCTGCCCCGTCCATGGCCACTCCTGCACCCCCTTCACATCTTCCCAGAGCAAAGAGAAATCCATAGGGAAGGATTTCTGCTTCTCTCCCAGTATTCTTATTGCTACTGAGCTGTTGGGAGTCCCTCCAGGAGCTGCAGGGCTGGTAGGGAGCCACTGGAGCTCGTGCCATGTGCATTTGGGCTGGTGGCACATTGGGCACTGCTCACTGCAGTTTGGGCACATTGGGCACTGCCACATACAGAGAACCTCCTGAACGTGGCAGCACAGCACCCAAGGACACACCAGCCCCACCGCTGGATCCTGTTAGAGCCAGGAGATCGCAACCAGCACCCCCAGAGCATGTGCAGATATAAATAATCCCTTGTGGGAGTGGGGAAGGATGAACGTGTGTGCCAAAGGCTCTGGAGTCCTTATCCCCATGCAGCCCCCGGCAGCAGGGAAATGAAGACTAGGCAAGGCTGGAGCTCAGCATCTCGCTGCATTGCTAATAACCTAAACTCGCCTTGTAGCAGAGCCTCTCTTCCTTCAAGGAAAAACCTAATCCAGACAGGGATTATTTCTGACTACTTACTTTCTGTCACTTTGCCAATTTAAATGCAGCAGAGCTTTCATCCCTGCATGCGGAAGGACAAAGCCCCACACATCTTGGTTCAGGATGGTTTTGGACAGCTTTTTAGTCTCGCACAAGTTGCACAATCTTTGCTGCATGGGCTGGGTTTTGGTGTTTGTTTCTACCTTGCCCAACTCCAGAGGGTCTGTGAGCAGGAGGATGAGGATGATGGATAAGGTGATGAACAGCAAGGGGTGACTGGGCAGGAGCTGGAGTTCAGGAGGGAGCACACAGCCCTTTGTAGCCTGAGCTGCAGAGCAGGATGGTGATGACCCCAAATTCCTGTTGGCTGCAGATCTGATAGAGCCCCCTGTGTGCCCCCACGGGTGGCTGCTCCTGGCACTGCCTACTCCATGCAACAAGTAGTGCGAGGTGTGCAGGCCTCCGTGAGGGGTGCCCCCACCACCATCCCCTACAAGGGCCAACATGCTCCGATGTGGACTTTGGTTCTGTTGGAGCTCGCCTTGTTAAAAGCCTAGGAAACGGTACATGTGCACTGTGCACACACCTACACACGCTGTGTTAAAATAACACAATTAAGGCTGCAAAATCCCCCACCCGGGATGCAGTTTGCAGCCCCTTCGCTGTAGGTGTGAGATATCTTTGCTGCCTGGCACCGCGCAGGACGGGGGCCGGTGTCAGGCTCTGCCCCACGCGCTGCCGGGGCTGGGTGACAGCGGTGGGAGCAGAGGGGGCTGTGGGATGAGGGAGCAGGAATGGGAATGCCACGGTTGAGGCATTGCAGACTCTCC